AGCTTCATGGTGCTGGCCTCTGGTCTGGACCCACCAGCTTCATGGTGCTGGCCTCTGGTCTGGACCCACCAGCTTCATGGTGCAGGCAAATAAATCTTGACTTGCACTTCATGTGTGGTGTCCCCTCTGTAGTCCAGCCTCCAGCCCGGTTGGGACCTGGAGGGAACAGACTGGAGTCTCCCACAGCCTGGCCTAGCTAACATACAACCATATACATTCAGCCCCTTCAGGTTTCCTGGACACCAGCTGGTTAGGAAGTCTTTGTTATGTGGTTACCTCCAGGAAGCCCAGACCCACGTGTAGCTCCACTCAGCATTCAGCTCATTAGGAGGAACCCAGTGGCCCACATGGACGCCTCCCTTCACAGACAACACACAGTACAAGACAACAACAAGCCTTCTGGTCCTTTTTGGGCCATGTGACACCACTGACTTTTACATTTAAACACTGTGTTTGTCTTTGTCACCTTTTGGATCAACGCTTCAAGCTGTGGCTCTTTGTTCTGTACTCAGGCACTGAGCGGGCCCAGATCTGCCAGTAAGAAAATACTACTTTGTATTTTACTGTGCATAGCAGCAAAAGCAGTAAATCGAAACTAAAGTCAGTGTACAGAGATGTACACGGCATCAGACAGACTACATCTACACGTGCTGTGATCTCACTTTGATCAGAACGTGAATGAAGTGTTGTTAGCGAGGCGTCTCGCTGAGAGCCAGACGTTCAGCTGTGGTGCTTTTGCCGAGTCATTATCTTCACACTCATCTCTCATATGAAGGAAGTCAAAGTGCTTCATCACTGAGTTCAGCGCAGAGCTGAGACAAACCTGATGCAACTGACCAGGAGAGCTGATATCAGGAGACACCAGATGGAAACCAAGGAAATGTTCATCTTCTCAGTAAACGGAAGCATTTGCACACACGAGCATACAACAAACACGGCATTACCAGGTCAGCCCAGAAACCAAAGAGTCCAAAAGCAAAGTGTTCTGTTCGTGTTGTTCTCCTGACTGAGGTGCACTTGTTTCATTTCCGCCCTGTCAGAGAGGCTTCGGCTGAGGCTGTTGTACAGCTCTCCTCTGCTTCCCCTTTGCTGTGCTGTGTTCGCTCTGCTCCGGTCCATCCGGTCCATCCGGTCCTTCCGGTCCATGTGTGGACCCCCACAGGCTGCATGGAGCAGAGCACGCTGAGCAGGGGAACCAGGTCCACTCATGTTGTTGGCTCTTCTGTACACAAACGTTCTGGTTGGAAATGAAAGAGAAAACAAGGGATCGGTGTTGTGATCTGAGATCTGGTGTTCTGGTGAGATCCACTGGGTCCCAGTTCCGTACACATGGCCTCCAACTAAACAGAGAATGTGTGTGAAAGACCTATTGAGGGACTAAGTGGGGATGAAGAATTGTGAAACCAGGTATTTCCTCCACCTCAAACCCTCATGGAGACAGCATGTCCCAACCTGCTGCCTCCAGGTGGCAGCTTCTACAGACAGCTGCTGATTCTGTTTCAACAAAACTTTGCCTTCAGAGATCTGTGAAAACTATTCTGTACGATGTTTTTAATGGTGTGCTTTGGGTGGCTGGTTGACAGGTAAGGTCGCATTTGTCCAGCTGGCCGACCTCCTGAACATTGAGGTGATCACCATCAAGTCGAGACCACACCCACTGAACAGCTTATGCCCCGCCCTCTACCAGTCAGCCCCCAGCCGCCTGCTCTGCCGAATGGTCCAACACCGGTAAGATTCAGCGCTGAGTCCTCATCAGGCAGGAATGTGTTCTGTAGAACCTGGAAAATACCAGTGACAGGAGTAAGTGGTTTTCTGTTGCCATGACAACAGCAGCAACAAACACAGAACTCTGTGTCTGTTTTCAGGGCCTTCGTGATCGTGTACGACCTGATCATCCTGGTGAACGCCGTGTTCATCGGTCTGGATGAAGAGAACCCAATGATCGCCAACTCAGAGTGGGCCTTTCTTGCCCTCTACCTGCTGGAGATCCTGCTGAAGCTCTACGTGTTCGAGCCCAGAGCTTTCTTCTCCAGACACAGTTTCTGGAATTGGTGAGAATGAGCTGGAGGTGCTCCATGTTTACTTCATGCCATACACTGGATCAAATTTCACTGTTTTCTTGTCGTAAATAATCAAAAGATTCTGAGGCCCACTACTGATTGTCCACAGGCAGCTACAAGTGAATGGAGGAAGAACTCCAGAACCAGGATCTGTGCAGGACACAGTCCACAGATGTAGCCGTCTGATTGGTTTCCAACATTTTGTTTCACTGATTTGTTTGAGGGGCTGCAGGTGTCTCTGTGGTTAGCACCGTTAGCGCCTCACAGCTAGAAGGTCGCCGGTTGGCGTCCCGGTGAGGACACCCGGGATCTTCCTGCGTGGAGTCTCCATGTTCTCCCCGTGCAGCGTGGGTTCTCTCCGGGTTCTCCGGCTTCCTCCCACAGTCCAGAAACATGCTGAGGTTAATTGGTGATTGTAAATTGTCCGTAGGTGTGAATGTGAGTGTGCTTGGTTGTCTGTCTCTAAGTGTAGCCCTGTGATAGACTGGTTACCTGTCCAGGTGAACCTGCCTTCACCCTGAGTCAGCTGGGATAGGCTCCGCCCCCCATGACCCTGGTGAGGATGAAGGTGTAGAGATGATGGATGGATATTTGTTTAGGTGTCCAGACCCACAGTGCTCAGTAGATTCCTATTTCAAGCAGTCAGATGGTTTCAGAGCCGCCGTGTGTCGACCAAACCAGCGTCTACCGGTCCTCCGTCTGGAGACGCCTCCCTGTCGGTTCCTCTGCACATCACTGTTGATTCTAAAGAAGACATGAACATTTGAAAGCATCTGGTGAGCGATAGACTGATTAATCAGCTGATTAAATGCCATGTTTGACGTGGTGGGTTAGAGTCTGCCCACAGAGGAGACGATTAGCCTTCACGTCCTCGCCGTGTGTTGAACTGACTGCTCTTGATAACATCATTGGATTTAAATCAGATTGATTTAGATACCTCATCTTTTTTTGTGAAGGTTGTTCGTTATGTGCGTTAGGAGTTGTAATGCAGCCTTCAAGCAGCTGAGTGAGCTCACATCACTCTGCTTCACCTGGAGGAGCTGTTGCTGTAGAACTTTAATCAGAGGTGTCATTACTGTCGACCTTCTAGAAGATCATGACTTCACACACATTTGGTTTGTTATTGGTGTTGAACTGGAGGGCATAACTCTTCTCCATCACATACCTGGTGATCTGGAGCTAAACTAAAACCAGGAACAGCAGCATTATATTGACATGACATACAGTCCATCAGTCGCCTCCTCGTGTATAGTTTCAGTATTTTATTGTATTTTTAAAGAGCCTCCGTATTGTTCCTCAGACAGCTGATCACTGCAGTTATTATTGAGCAAACCAGTGAGAGTCCTGTGTTGTTGGGGACTGTGTTGAGCAGCAAGTTCACTGATATTTAGAGTGACACCAGCGTTCTTAGAATCCATTCAGATCTGATGGCGTGCCAACGGTGAACGTCAACGTGATGCTTGAAAACAAAAGTCTTTAAAGAAACACGGCCAGACGTGTGATCGTCAGGCCAAGATGCTGACCTTAGCGTCACAGGGCGGTCCAACAGTGACCGGTTTGGAGCTCCGGGTACCAAAGACCACCTCAGACGTTTAGGATCAAGTTCTCTGTTATGACCCACGGCTGTAAACCAACCGGTCACAAGACAACGTGCAGTGATGCAGGAGGCAGGAGACGTTTCTGGATAAAACCAGACACACACACGGTGTACGTTCGGCGCTGCTCTGGCGTTTCTATGATGTCTTCTTTCATGTGAACTTGGTACAAAATGATGAGTCGTCACGTCCAGTGTGGTTGTTTTTCTGCTGCTGAACTAATGATGAAAACATGTGAAGTCAATGAGCTGTGTCACGTCATTTCAAACAGCGTGTCTACAGCCCAGATTCAAAGTACGAGGTAGGTGACGTTCACTTCCTTACATTAGCAGCTGCTTGGCCGGTCAGCGCTCCGGCAGCTCGAGGCACAAACAGTCATTTATCTGTTGTTGGGGTGTGAACATGCTTTTAATTATGGAGCTTCATTTACAGTCAAAAAGTCTGAAAGTAAAAACGTGATTACAAAGAGCTATAAACAGGACGTCGACAGTGAAAGACAAAGTCGACCAGAACCAGAACTGTCAGGAACAGAACAAGCCAGATACAGGATCAGGAGGAGGAAACGTTCACGCCCCTCCTCCGTGGTGATCTGATTAATACCTCAATGATCAGAAGCTGTAGCCAACATTTCATCCTGCTGTTCTGTTGCTCACAGTTTGGTTTTCTCATTCTTAGTTTTTCCTTTTGGACTTTTTTACATGCAGTGACCCGTGTTCTGGTGCACCTCTGCCAGTTACTGCAGTCCAATCAGCCATGATGCCTTTCTCTGCACAGGTCTGAAGGTTCATCTGTGACTCTGTGACTTTAGCTCCCTTCAGCCGTGCACTGTTTTCCATTGATCAGCCACTAAACGGGTCTGAACCAGAACCCTGCTCACGGTTCTATAGAAGCTGTGACGGCAGTCTGACTAGTTTGAAGCGAGTACCGTTTCCGTATCATTTCAAACACAAGTGTCAGTTACGTGGTGTCACACTGACAGACGAGTGATGTGTGTGAAACACTTTCAGCACCGATAGTGGTCCGAAGCCAAAGCCACTTTGCTTTACAAGTTCTGTCCATTATTTACCTTCATTTCCATAAAAACAACACTTTTCTGTGGTGAAGATAGACTAGCAGCTCGTACGAATGGCTTCCAGCTGTTTGCAGGAGTCTTTCCTTTTAGTTTATCAAACATCTGCAACACGAGACAGCAGCAGGAGTCATGTGAGCATTTTTAAAATGACAGAGTTGTGCACATTTAGGCACATGAGACGATGGAACAGCAGTGCCGGTAACCTCAGGAACTACTATACGACATGGAGACAGGATCAGTCAGAATCTACCAGCAGGTCACAACAGTTTGAACAAAGACTGAACATTTTAGGCATCATAGTAGCCTGATTGGACTGGATTGGATTGGATTGGGTTGGGTTGGATTGGGTTGGATGTGCACCTGAAGTAGCCACTGAGTTTATGAAATACTGAAGTCCTCTGAAACTCTATTGCTGCAGCTGTTGAATTAGCATTTCATTAGCATTGTTGCTTCTTGCATACAGCTGTGTGCCCTCTGCTGAGGAGTTGTGCAGCTGCAGTATTTTCTGTCAGCAGTGTCTGGTCCTGTGTTCCATGGATGGATTATTAGAACTGGACAGTCGACCCAGTCACTTCAACAAAAATTGCTCAACCAGCACGTTTGCTGGCCAAAAAACGTAAATACAAAATGTTAGCTGGGTGAGCTTCAGCCCCCTCCACATAGTTGTTCTTTACGATCTGTTCTGCAGAGATCTTGAGCTGGTTTAGTGGTTTTGGTTGCAGTACCACTCGTGGCCACTGGGACACACTTACAGCATCCAGTTCTCTCAATACTTCCATGGTGTGTTTGTGTCGGTGTTGTCAGGCTCTCATCATGGGAACACAAGCCGGATCGTTTTCTGATGTCTGTTTTCTGTCTCCAGGTTCGACACCATCATCGTCGTCTCTGCTCTCGTCGCCACAATCGTCAACTCCACCATGAAGTCATGTAAGGACGGTTTGATTAAAGATGCTTTAGACAGAACACTAAAGAGGCCACAAAAGCAAAGCCTGAGTGGTTCTGAAACCATGAGTTTATGAACTAGTATTTTTAATCTCTTGAGAGTAAACTGATGTCTTTGGCTGTTGAAGCGTTGTTGGGGCGAAACAGCTGATCAAAGCTTCGACAGAGTCACAGCGACCTCTCGTCACTCGTGAAGCCCTGTTCACACAGAGGATGTGTGACATCGCTGCTTCATCACTGTGTTGAAGTGACTGTATGCTGTCATTGAGACCAGCTCAGTTTCACATTAGTGTTCCTCACTGACTAGACTAGACCAGACTAGGACGAGGACTAAGACTAGGACTAGGACTAGAGCCATGGTGTGGCACCTGTCATACAAGCAGGACTGGACATGTGTGATGCTCATCAAGCCGGCAGTAGAATCAGAACGTCCTGACCACTGTGATGAGCTGGTGACCCGGTCCGAGGAGGGGTGCTACGTAACACATGGTCTAACTGCAGCTGATAACCGTGGCTCTGCCGGCGACGGCTCACCGGGTTTGGCTCTCTGTGATGTTTGTGGTGATGAACTGTGGAAGACGTCTCTTCCAAATTGCTTCACAAAGCTCAGAGTATGTCCAGATCCTGTGACTCAGGCGGTCCAGTCTTGTGCCACACTGACAGTCAGGTGTGACCGACTGAGACCGGCCAGGACTGACCACTGTGTTCAGACATGAAGCTCAGGTACCGTCCGACTGATGGACAGGAGCTCTGGAAGGGGCACTACAGTTAAACATCTACTAATCAATCAGTAAGGAAGGGAACTGGCTGTCCACCTGTTCAGATGCATCACACTGTTGTTTTCATGTTTTTGTCCAGACACGTTTCCCTCCAGCACCGTCTGTCTTTCTCAGTAATTCTCCCCATCCTGTTGCAGCGGGCGGTTACACCAGCCGGCAGATCCTGGACATCGTTTTCATCCTCCGAGTCCTCAGGCTGATCCGGGTGGTGGACAGCATCAAAAGGTCTGACTGCTTCTTTGTTCTGTACCATCACAAAGCGCTGTTCTCTGGGCGGCTGTCTGTCAGTCTGTGTTCTGTCTTTAGACAACAGGCCACCTTTGCACGTGTCATCACTGACTCCTTGACCTTGATTGGTCTATAATTCTTATGAGTTGTATTTAATGCCAACCGGTTGCTTTAATGAGACCTGTGGTCCCTGTTAGGTTTCGTACAATCATCAACACCCTGATCAGGATTGGACCAGCCATCCTCACATTTGGACAGCTCATCATTGTAAGTATCTGATAGCAGACTGCCGTTCAAACAAATGCTTTTAACTCCCCATATAGAGCCTGTAGTAAGACGTCATGTTTAGAGCTGTGGTGTAACAACCACACTTAGCGTCCAGCTGTGCTAGCTGCTCTGAGGCTAATTTAATCACAGCACAACTATTAGCTAAAGGCTAGCTTAGACTTAGACTGACTTTATTAATCCCAGAGGGAAAGTCTGGTGTTACGGCAGCAACATTCAACAAAGGTGTAAACGAGCAAAAAGACAACACAAAATATTATGGTAGGGTATAAAATTAAGGTTAAATATAGTCAAATAAAATCCATCCATCCATCTATGTAACAATAATGCAGACATTCTCAGTTTCTAAATACACCAGTTCTGCAAGTGTTTGGTCATAAACCAAAGTAATCAACAAACTAACCTGGCATTAGATGAAAGTAGAGAATCAACAAAATTACTTCAATTAGTTCTGATGGGATCATGAACGTCTGAGCCAGGTTTCCATCCCTTGTTATTATTCCTGAGAGATGTAATGGTAAGCCAGAGTAGTGGACCAGCTTCCATCGACGGAGCCACACCGCTAATGGGGCCAACAGCTAGAGTTAGCATCTTGTTGGTTATGATGGTCTTCCTCTTCAGGTGGTGTACTACATCTTTGCCATGGTGGGGATGGAGCTCTTCAAGGACAAAGTGAAGTTTTTTGAGGACCCCAGTGACCCGGCCCAGTTGTACTGTGGAAACCCTCTGCTGAAAGGATCGGCCTTTGCACAACTCAACTACTGCAAGAACAACTTCAACAACGTGGTTTCCTCCTTCATCCTGCTGGTGGAGCTCACGGTGGTCAACCAGTGGCATGATATCCTTCCTCCTGCTGGCGCTGCCGGACTGCTGATGGTACCGCCAGGCTCTCTCGATGAAGCAGTCTTTGAAACAGTCGTTTCTGTATCGTTCAAATCTTAACACTAGAAAAGAGTTTTTTGTAAATGGTTTTCACACGTGTTCTTGTGTGTTTGTTCTTTTATCTTCTTAAACATCTTGTAATGTTTCTGAATGTGAGACTCCTTAACGCGGCTCCACTGCTCAGCCGGGGCTTCGCCACCGTCACCCACATGTCGGCCATCATCTTCTTCGTCCTCTTCCACATCATGGTCGTCATCATCATCATCAAGTAAGACTCGTAGTATCACCCTCATACCCCACCGTCCTGCCCGTCTGAGACAATCATCATCCTGTATGAGTCCTGTTCCTGATTCTGCTCAGCTGACAGCTCAGAGCCACTGCTGGCTGCTTCAATGTGGTACAAAGCACTCGTTAGGTGACTTCCTTTGTCACTGAAGACGTAGGTCTGATGTACGTTCAGCTACGTTTCCACCCTGAAGCTTTATTTCAAAGAATTGTATTCAAGGAACGATAAGGTTCCTTCAGACTGTTGGCTGTCTGTGTTTCCACAGCGGTCCAAAGGCGATGAAGATGTGTTGAATTAGTCCACTGACTCATGATTTAGCAACGGATGCTGACCTGTCATTGTTACGCTCAGTGATGCTGACGCCAACGGGGCCATGAAACCAGGAGACAGATGGTTTCAGTCATGCTGCTGGTAGTCGTGTTTCACTGTTTTGCAACTGGGTTCATAGTCATTGGTGGAGGAGAGGCTAGCAGTAGCTACAGAGCGGATTTAAAATGCCAGACTTGAGTAAGAAAACACGTTTTGTTGGCTACTGTAGAGATTTACCATGAGATGTCTGAAACAGACTGAAAGGAAGAAAGTTCACTGCTATAAGCTGAACTTCCAAGGTTTCTGAATGTCCAAGAAAGTACCAACCTGATGCACTGATGTGGCTCCAAAGTGCATCAGAACTTCTGTAGGTCGAGCCTGAATCACATCTTTATGATGCACACATTCAGATTCACTGCGACCTGCAGCTTCAGGACATCAGTGTCTCTGACGTCCATAACTGACAAACATCCAGAATTCTGTTAAGAATTCATAGAAAAAAGGCGCTCCTTTTTTAAAAAGATATTTTTGGGCTTTTCTGCCTTTAATGGATAGGACAGAGAAACATGGGGAGAAGAGCGGGGAAAGGACATGCAGCAGATGAGCCGCTGGCTGGAATCGAAGCGCTGTGTCGGGGACATGGCCGACCCCTAACCCTAACCCTGTACATGGGTCGCCCTTTTAACTCCAGAGACTACTTATAACTCATAAGAATCCTGAAGTTCTGAGGCTTTCTTCAGTGTTGTAGGACACCGGTGGTCTGGACCTCCGAGGTGGCGGGCAGTCAGCGGACAGCTCCTCTGATCCACTGCAGATGCTGTCGGTTTGGTGTGTGAGTGGTTCTGGACTCAGCCTATCCCATACGTCTACAGACAGACGGCCTCGTCTGACGCCTCTCAGCCTGAACTTGTGGTCATTTCATCTCCCTGCTGATCATCTATTCTTTCCTGTTGTTTTCCAGCATCTTTGTGGCGTTCGTCCTTGAGGCTTTCTTCGTGGAGTACTCTGTAGACAAGGGCGACCTGCAGACGGCTCTGGAGAGGAGAATCGAGGAGCTGGAGTTGGCTGTGGCACAGTACGTTACCATGACAACTCCCTGGCCTCATATACACATATATAGAGCTTAACACATGTACTAGAGCGCCACCCAGTGTCAGGTTTAGGCCACAGCTGCTCTACATGAACAGCACTGGTCATCACCAGCATCACGTTTCATGTTTCTGTAATGGTCAATACAACCCAAGTGACATCATTAATGCTAAAATATAATTATTATTATTACTGTCCATGAATTTTTAAATTTACTTTTTTACAAAAAAACAGAAAAATAGTCCACACATCATGATTCCTTGATGAAGACGTCAGATTATAGTTATTAACTCACATTCCTGAGCAGAAACATTAGTTTTAGTGGTTGAATGTGGTGCTTGATTCATTCCTGACTTCTCAGAGAAGCCCAGTGGCTCAGATTTACGTCTAAAAACCGTAACCCTGACATCCCTGTTCAGAATGGAAAAGCATGGAGAGCTCACTGAAATGAAAGAGTCACATTAAAGCTCTCCATGATGCTGGACGGTCTCTGAGGCGAACAGGGAAAGACAGAAAGTGTTCTCACAGTGGGCTCAGGTATGATCTGGAGTTACCTGCTCAGACTGGTTCAAAACTAAAGTTCACTGCAGCAGATGTCAGACACCTTTAGACCTGAGCCCTGTGCATGATTATTGGTTGGATACTTTGTAAATGTACAATAAACTGCAAAAAGGGGAAATACATTTTATACATAGTGTGTATATATATATATATATATATATAGTAAAGTTAATGACAGCAGATAAGTGCTGCTGCTGGCCTGTTGTTGGATTACATGGAAACAAGACGCCCGAGTTCAAAGAAGCATGACAACAATCCAGATCAGTTGTTGTTGTTGTTGTTGTGAGCAACACACTGGCTCTTGGTGTTTGTGGTTCTTGTGCATCAGGTGCTGTTGGGTCCACTTTCATCAGAGCAGACATTTTTTATGATCGTCCTCGTTTCTTTGTGAACCAGAGAGAAGTTGGAGGACAACTTGGTGAATGCCATGGAAACCATGGACAACGAGCTGGGAACCAGCCAGGCAGCAACGCCCAACGTCCCGTCCTTGATGTTTAAGATTGCTTCAAAACGTAAGTTCACACCGGTCAGCTGGGAGATGGTTTTAGAGGATGTGAGAAGTGACCAACATTTCATAGAATCTGTAGGATCCAGAAAATCTGCAGAACTGAGGACAAGGGGGACTTATAATAACCCAGAACAATGAAACCTTTGAGAACCTGGACATAAGAAGTTGATGGCAGCGCTGTGTGCTTCTGTTTCAGGATACCGGACGGTCGACGCCTTGCTGCAGCGGATGTTTGAGGCTGATCTGGACCCTGAAGACTTCGCTGAGAACGACGATCCTGAAGCTCAGGGCAACGGGAACTTTGCAAATCCAACATTCAGCTCTGCATGAACATTTCTGAACAAACCTATATGAAGGGAAGCTGTTTCTATCAGTGATGTGTAGTTTTACACTCAGCGTCAGACATTTTTAAATCTGATCTGTTTGTTCAGTGCAATGTATGGACAGCGTGATTCGAGAGACACATCCAGTGTTATATTTTTATATATTTGTCCTTTAGCACAGAAGAAATCAGTATTTTCACATAAATAATATTGAAACTGTTTAATGTGTGTTTTTAGTGTTCAGACAAAAACGAAAATATGTTTAAGACTGAAAATGAAAAGCTTTTGTAAACCAAGTGACAGTATCACATATAAAATGTATGAGTTCACCTGCTCGCTCATGTCATGTGACTTGTTTCTGGGATGGGCTGCAGGTGGATCAGTGGTTAGCACCGTGGCCTCACAGCTAGAAGGTCGCCGGTTGGCGTCCCGGTGAGGACACCCGGGATCTTCCTGCGTGGAGTCTCCATGTTCTCCCCGTGCAGCGTGGGTTCTCTCCGGGTTCTCCGGCTTCCTCCCACAGTCCAGAAACATGTTGAGGTTAATTGGTGATTGTAAATTGTCCGTAGGTGTGAATGTGAGTGTGCTTGGTTGTCTGTCTCTAAGTGTAGCCCTGTGATAGACTGGTTACCTGTCCAGGTGAACCTGCCTTCACCCTGAGTCAGCTGGGATAGACTCCGCCCCCCATGACCCCAGTGAGGATGAAGGTGTAGAGATGATGGATGGATGGATGCTCAATAGATTCCTATTTTCAACCAGTCAGATGGTTCCAGATGATGTGAGACGTCCAACATCTCCAGTTTAACAGCAGCTGAGCCAATCACGGTGTCGAGCACATGATGTGACAGATCCAGAAGAAACCAGTGAGTGGAAGGTGTTGTTCTGTCCTTATTGGGCTCATCAGCATCCAGCAGCAGTGTGCTGCTTCGTTATCTGGAGCTGCTTCTTTAAATGATGCCAGAGTTCAGCAGTCACGTTTAGACGTCGGTCTGGCTGCTGCAACCACTAACGACCACTAACGACCACTACATGTACTGGTGATGGCTGTGTTACCGGTTGCTACTAGAAACCATCGACATATGACACATGGTCACAGGAAGCATGTCCTCCTGTGAACACTGTCTTTGTGTGGCTGTTCTCCGAGAAGTGACTGGACAGACAGTCACTACTTTCACAGTCGAGTCCTGAGCAACACACTGGCAGCTGCTCCAACATGCATGTCCGTGGTCAGTGGAGGTCACAGCCTCTATGAGCGCTGAGACCGTGTGAAGGACAGGTCAGGATGTGAACATGTATGGATGGCATCTGGGGAAAAACCAAAGCACCTTCTGCACACAGATGACACCAGATACAGCACAATTGATGTGAATCTGGCCACGACTACACACTGACTGCATGGTCCATATGCGTGCACAGGGTGAGGACGGTATGGGGCTGAAGGGGTGTGAACGTTGATGGGAGATAACACACAGCTGGAAGCAGAAGTTTGCATCCACTGTAGAAAAAGACTCAGAACCTTTTTTGCTCCCTGACATTAAATCAGACAGAACTTCTCCTGTTTCAGCTCAGTCAGGATCACCAACATTATTTCTATTTGCTAAACACCAGAATAATGAGACAGAGAATGTTTTATGACTTTCTTCAAAGTCAGAAGTTTCCATCCACTGAGATGACTACAGTACCATGATGACCATCGTTACATTTGGAGGAAAAAGGCCTGAGAACAGCATCCCAGCTGTGGAGCACGGGGGTGGCAGCATCATGCTGTGGAGGGACTGGTGACCTTCACACAATAGATGGCATCATGAGGAAAGAACATGATGTGGAGATACTGAAGCAAAATCTCCAAAAATCAGAAGGAAGTTACAGCTTGGACACTAATGGGTCTTCAGATGGACAATGACCCTATAAAGTCAGACAGTGAGTAAAAACGTTTCTGTGTCTTTTTATACAGTGAATGTAAACTTCTGATTTCAACTATAAATGGACCCATGAAGGACCATGGACGTATGGAGAACGGTGGATGGCAGGATGACGTCCAGTCAGACGAGAATATTTGAGCACGATAGCGCTCCAGAGCACAAAGTCATACAAAGGTTTCTAAATAAGAGAAAGTGCAAATGATGTCCTGGTCCGGTACGTGACTGGAATCAAACAGGAAACACTGAAGGTGCTTGAAAGAGAGTCAGAGCAACACCAGCCTCCAGCAAGGAGCAGCTCAGCAGAAGAACCTCTGCTGAATGTGCTGCTCACCAGCTGAGTGAGATTTAATCTGTCATATAACACCAAGCTGTCCAAAGAAGTGTTGAACAGAAAAGAAAGCAGGTGTGAAGGTCAGTGATGGAGGCGTCCGGACTGTTCCTGCATCCAGGACCGACTCGGTGCCGCTCAGACAGTCATCAGCCCAAACACTCACTGTAGAAATCATTCAGTCACTGAGAGGTGATGCAATGTAGGGCCACGTGACATATTGGTGATCTTACACAGGTGTGAGCTCACCTGTGCTGTCGACCCTCACCCTCCCTGTCAGCAGGAGGCGCTGCGGAGCCGCAGCTGTGACCTGGACACGCCGAGGAAGAGTGTTTGTGTGTGGTGCTGATGCTGTCGAGATGGAGCAGAGGGAGTGGATCCTGCTCGGCTCTCTGTCGTCAGGACGGAAAACAACATTCAGGTAAGACAACAAACAAACAAACAAACAAACGAGCAGTCAGACCGTCACCGGAGAGACAACACCGGAGCGAGCAGAACATCGAACACGAACCGAAGCGACGCGATGCTCCAGTGTGTGTGTGTGTGTGTGTGTGTGTGTGTGAGGCCACAGGCAGGATGTCGGATCAGTAGAATATAATCACAGAACACAAGGGATCACATTTATTGTGTTTTACTGAGAATAAAAGCCAGTAGATGTTGGCGCGAAACGTTGCAACAACATGAGAACAACATTAGAACAACGTTACAAAAGGCCTCGCGATGAAGGAAGGGAGGGATGAGCATGAACAGCGCCGCCTGCTGCCCACAGCTGCTACTGCTGCTGATGGGGAGAGTCGGTGTCAAGCTGGAGACAGTGTGTGCAGGTGACACGTCCGCTCCGTGTGAAGGCTCCTACAAAATAATATGTCCAATGAAAGCCGTGAACCGGGACCGGTCACGGAGGAAGGAAAACACGGTTTGTTTTTGTGTTGGCCAGTGCTGTAGAAATCTATGAAACTTTCCAAGATTTAAGTAAGGACATCCATCCATCCATCCATCATCTCTACACCTTAATCCTCACCAGGGTCATGGGGGGCGGAGCCTATCCCAGCTGACTCAGGGTGAAGGCAGGTTCACCTGGACAGGTAACCAGTCTATCACAGGGCTACACTTAGAGACAGACAACCAAGCACACTCACATTCACACCTACAGACAATTTACAATCGGTAAATAGTAAATAAAAAAAGTTTAACAGTTTATTTCTAAAACAGTTCAGACTCAGTTTGTAGGTCCTAAACTGAGAAGGTTCTGGTGTTCACAAGTCATTTTCTCAACTTGTTTGTGCAGCTGGACTGGTGGATCATCACAGATGTGCTCCGTTAAATGTCAGTGATCACAGGTTTTGTGACGGATGTTTCACTTTAGGCTCCGAAACTCTGCTGTTCAACTTGTAAATGCTGTAATGTTTGAGGTTTGATTCAATTTAGAGTCACATGATGATATTGCAAAGAGGTTCAGGAGCTTCTTATTTGTTCATTAGAACACCAACAGAACTCTGATGTGAAGCTGGCTGTGACGTGTGGACAGATGCTGGCTATTGGAGAGAGTTAGACTGATGAGACCAGAGTTGTTCCTGTGGAAGTTGTTCATTGGTGCAACATCAGCGTCTCTCATGTTTTTGAGCCCATACAGGATGAGCAGCATCGGCCAGTGGAGCTGCTGACTGCCGGGTTCACACGCTGGATGCAGAGCTGCACACCTCACTGAACACGTCTCAGCTGCTTTATGAGCCGACTGTCTTCTTGCTTGTGGGCTTGTGTCCATGCTGCACAGCCCACTACAGCCTTCATCATCGTGTCCTCTGCTGGCCCCAGCTACACATTCAGGCTCGTTAGATTTCATCACAAATCAAACCTCCTTTTCTAAGTTATCAGGAAGTTTTACAAACATCAGCTGTGAATGTATTCAAATAGAGTAAACCTGACTGGGTGTGAGCCGTACCGCCTGTTGTCAGTTTGGCCAGCTGCATTCAGGCATAATGCAAAGAGCGCCTGCTGTCATCGGTACCTTTTTGCTGACGAGTGGACTGATCGCGGTGTCGGGCTTCTTGTGATGGATGATTCCATTCTGAGTCTGAGGTGGAAACTGATTTTATGAAGGCAGTCTGTTGGGAAAATGCTTTTGTTTTGAGTTTAAAAAACTGAACCAAACCCCAAACATCCCATTGTGGGTGATGTTTGGGTTTTAGTTTAGCTAATGTGTGCTCCATGGGGAGCTTTGGGTCGCTCAGCGCCACATGTTGTTCCAAGTCCAGATATCAGGTATGTCCTCTGTGGTGAAGCTAAACACAAGTGGGCTTGTTGTGGTGAACTAGATGAGCACTGTCATTAGAATAAATAATCCAGGGCTGCTCCAGCACCTGATGCCAAGTGTTAGTGCAGCAGGCTGCGTGTTTAGCGGTTCTGTGTGTTACCCACTGTAGGAAAGTGGATTTTGAAAATGGTACCATGCAGATGGTGGAAGGAAAGGAGAAAGAACACTTCTGTGATGGCCAGTTCCCAGTTTTACCTGCAGCTGGTAAGTCCAACACAAGACAAGCTGAGTGCTGGACCTGCTGCTCAGGCCTGTGCAGAGCATCACCAGGTCCAGCTCTGGGTTGGTCCTGCTGACCAGCAGCAGTGAAGGGATGGTCTATGACCTGGATGTTTGGTTGGTGGGTCGCAGGTCGTCTGTGATTAGCTGATCATACACAACCGATTATTGTTTGAGTTTGTTTTTAGTTTCAGACCTGAGTTCTGTTGGCTGCAGCTCAGTCCAGCACCGCTGCAGAGGACCGGCTGCTCACAGTGCTGGTGGTGTTGACTTGATGCTCCTGGTGTTTCTCATTTTCATTCAGCTCCTCCTGCAGGTATCGCTCACTGGACGTTGTTTCTCTTTGAGCTGTGATGTGAGGCTACGATGAAGAGCCTCCAGTTCTGAAAGTGGTTTGAGCCATTTGAGCATGTTCTAGAGTCTCCAGGGATCCGGTGAATGAGCAGAGCAGCAGACCACAGACAGGGAACAACTCATACTGAAAGTAAAACAGCTCGTGGTTGTCATTACAGATTCTGATGAGTTTTACTGTCCAAAGGGTTTGTTTTAAAAAAAAAAACCAAAAACCTAAACCTCATCCACCTTGTGTGTGAAACATGCTGCACAAATCAGCAATAATGTAATTTACGCCCAAACAGCCCCAAGCTGAAACCAAAGCAGAAAGTCAGTCGCCCTGACATGAACGGGTGCTGGATGAATAAACCTGAAGGCAGGGAGAAAGAAATGTCCTGGATTACAGCCTGGAACATCTAAACCAGCAGTAAATCACTCACTTTAGTGTGAAACATGCTGAGCGACAGTCCCAGTGTCGAGGCGACGCTACTAACATGCTTTTACTTTGAAGATGAAACTACCTGTACTTTTGACTTAATGTGTCTTTTCTTGTAAACTGATTTAAAGCATCAGCAGGGCAAATACAACTCTACTTATTGTTTATTATTATTTCTCATTCCGCTTTTCTCTGTTTTAAATAATCAAATATTTTTAGGCAGAAAGTAGAGAAAACGTCTGGTGCTGGTGTTCTCTGATTAAAGACAGAATTAAAACCACATCACTGTCATCAACAAAACAGGAGAACAGACATTTACGAAACACTCAGTCAGAGTTAGACTATAAATAGAGTGCTGTAGTGAAAATGCAGCAAATGAACCTGCTCATGAAGGCGAGGAGAGTTTTATTGTGAAGCGCAGGCCGGATGTGGTGGCTGTGGTCAGTGAGGCCGCTTGACGCTGGTTGGCGCTGTGGAGGCAGAGCTGCAGTGCGGACAAACAGGCTGGAGCCGGAGAACCTGACACCAGCCGAGTCGCTCAGCCTCAGCCGGCCTTCTACATCTGCTTTGGTCCGGCTCGGATCCCGGTGCAGCAGGAGGGGGGCAGGCTCAGTCCGCATCCTCCCGTTCAGCTGCAGCGGCGGAGAACCGCAGGAGGACCGGGACCGGAGGCAGCGGGGTGTTCCTGGACGCGCAGCCTCTGAGGAGAGGTCCACCTGTCTGTCTGTCCGTCTGTCTGACTCGGTGCGTCCTGGACCCGCTCGGCTCGGACCTGGTCTGCTGTGATACCGGGACTGTTGGAGGAGACATAGATGGTGGTTTAGTCCTGCGGGAGCGTGAGGCCCAAAGCCCGGCCCCCCTTCAGAGGAACGGTGGGTTTTCTGGACCAGGACGTTTTGTGCCGAAATAAAATCCCAGATGAAGATTCCCAAAAGGCGGAAAAGGAGCGGACGGTGCGCCAGGTAGGCCTGATCCGGGCCGAGGCTGGCCCGGACCGCACAGACCGTTCAGTGGGTGTGTGTCCCGCAGCGATGCGTTGGACCGAACTTATTGATCCGTGTCCGAGATGTTTGGTCAGAACCAGGTCTTATGATCATCTAGACCAGGACCGATGAGGGTTGTGTCACTGTAATGATCTTTAATTCATAACTTGGGTCAGTCCGGGCCAGATTTATTGATCAGCAGGATGTGATGGTGCGCATGCGCACGTAGGACCCATGACTGTGCACTGCAGAGAGGAGGTTCAGTGAGTGATGCAGAGCAGCAGAGGGAGGGATGCTGCTGGAGCTGGACCTCAGTGGAAGTGTGTCACTGAAGCCTCCATCCAGTCGTTCAGCTGCGGGTCTGCTTGGTTCTGGGTCCACATCCACAGGAACCAGATCAGCTTCGTCGTTTATATGTTCTGCTTTAAACACAACCCGAACCTTTATTTTCTGGTTCATCAAACGTCATCATCAGAGCAGAAAAGAAAGGAACGTGTCAGGAAGTGTGAAAGCATCAGCGACAGCAGCCAAACAGAACCTCATGGGACGGGTCAGAGTCAGAGGCCGCCTCTCCTGAACCCAACAGAACCACAGAGCTTCATTTAGCTGTGTGTTCATTTCATATGAAGCAATGGGAATGTACAGCTGGTAGATGTTATAACAACAACAATAGTAATGAAAATAACAACAACAACAACAACAACAACAATAATAATAATAATAACAGGGGACTCATGCTGGAGGTCCCTGTTTGTTTTTAACTGAGCAGATTAAAACTTTAAGGGACTGTTTACTGCCCCTACCCCTGTTTAGTGCCCTTACCCCCGTTTACTGCCCCTACCATGGGCGTAGCGGACGCGGGGTACACGGGGGACATGTCCCCCGCACTTCCCGTATCTGTGCCCTCCGTCCCCCGCACTTTTTTTTTTTTACAGCCATTACAACCACTTAATTCATTTTTAACATGTGGAGACACGTTTTTCCGAGCCGCCTTTAAACGCATCATTAGTAGACGGCGCTAAACGGCGCCAAACAGCCGCAGTGTGACGTTTAGCTTTAAACATGTCCGCTAAACAAACCAAGAAGCAGAAAACTCTGGACAGTTTCTTCCCATCAAACCGTGTAAGTTGAGTAATGCTGCTACATGGTGATAATGTTTAGCTAATACAAAGATATTTTATATGGGATATAATTGCCCAGGACTTTGGCTAAAAGACTCTGAAGAGGACTTTGTCATCCTAAGTTAGCTAGGTTAACTCGCTAGCTTAGCTAGCTAAATGTCAATGCAGTTAGCTAAGCTAGCTGATTATAAACCCACTCCTCCTTCATTTCTGAACAGAACATGTGCTCTGGTGCTGATCATTTTAAACAGGAATGGTGTTTTACAGAACTTCTGGTGTTCAATGTTTTCATCTGGCACTTCATTATCTGGCCATGCACCGTGGAGACGCCCCGGGTCCTTCTATGTCAACTCAACCACAGCTGGCAGCTTCAGATCTTAGATTCTGACTTTGACAGTATATCATTTATTAATATTGTTTAAAAAAAATGAAGCTGGTTCCTTGGTGCTGTGCTGTTTGTGGTTATGTGGTTGTTTAGCTGCTGAGGAGAGGAGCAGCTGAATGTGAGAGGACGATAAATCACTCAGTAGACCTCTGAACAGTTTGCCCCCACTTTTAAAATGACGGCTACGCCACTGGCCCCTACCCCTGTTTACTGCCCCTACCCTGTGTAGTGCGTAGCTCAGGCTGCAGCTCCACTGATAACTGCCCCGGTCATTATTTAACTGCCCCACTGTGTGCACTAACTGCCCCCGGGGCTGGAGCCGTGGCCTCGGCAGGTTGCTGTGTTGTCCAGTCTCACCTCTGATGGCGTCTCATGTAGTGAAGCTTCATCAGATGGTTTAAATGTCTTATACAGTAAAGACAGAACCAGAACCAGAAGCAGAACCAGAACCAGAGCCTGTGGCAGAATAACTGCTGCTCAGCGTCTCTACGACCATCCTTCATCTTGTTTCCCTGTTTTTTAAAAAGGTTCTTTTTAGTCGTTATTAGAACAAATCAAACGTCATCAGCAGATCCAACAGAACCATGATTCAGTCTGATGCAGTCGTGTAGGGTCCATCCCAGGGTTAGTGGACCGCCTCCCACCAGGACCTCAGCAGGAAGCATTGAGTAGAACCAGGACCTTCCTGTGACCAGGTGGCGCTGAGTGTCTGCAGGTGTCTGCTGGTCTCCTGAACAGCACATAAAGAACCACGAGTCATAGAAACCAGAACCAGCACCAGCAACCAGTGGAATGAGTCCGGTTCCTCACATGTTAAAGCTTTATGATCCTCTGATGTCATCGGCGTGTTAATTGTTTTACACTCGTTTACTCTTTAACTGGTGACTCGTGTCGTCCAATCAGGTGTCTCGGGGAATGCTGGTAGAACCAATCATCACATCCTGTTGTTTCTGCTTGTGGTCCGAATAAAGATTTGTTATTGTACACACACA